TTGCTGTTGTATTGAATTTGTATTTTCATTGCTGTTTCTTCTCTTTGTCACCTTATGTTTTGGAAGAAATATCACTGATTTGATTGAAGATAGACATTAAACTGGAATAATGCATCTCCAAAAAAAAAGTAGTTCTCCTCCCATTTGGTCCAAAATGTTAAGGAGAATGTTATAATAAAACCAGAATGCAAATTTTACTGGGTCACCTTAACCCCTGGCAACCAAAGAACAGCTGAAAATAATAAACCACGTGAAAAAAAATACGTAGATGGATGGAAAATAAGTTCATTACACGGAGCTTTTAAAAGCAGGTCCTATCCAGAGACGTTAAGTAAATTATGCAATAAATCTTAATGTATCTGAAATAACTCACCAAGGTAACCTCTGTAATTATTCTTTGCCATGCTTGGTAGTGTTGTTCATGCTCCAGTAGAAAGTTCAATTTTCATTTTTGACCCATTTTATTTACAAACAGAGATCCTTGGTCTGGGGTTATTCCATTTGACATTAATCGCCATTTATTGTTTGTTTGAAAAATACATTCTATTTTCTCACTGGACTTTACCATATGCAGTATTCATCCCACGTGGACTGTATACAATCTACTTCTAAAAATCCCTTTCTTTTGCTGACTGTGGTGAAATGAGCAAAAGAAATCAACATGTAATTATTTTCTTTAATTTATAAAATTTATTGGCCACTCATCTTTTCCATTCAATTGTATAGAATGCGAAGGATGTGTTGTCTTATTTTTATAGTTATAATGTACACTGAAGATGGCATTTAATTTCATTGTACAAGATGCAAAGACAATACAATAAACTAAACTAAACAAAGTAAGTTAATCTTACCACAGGGTAACTCTGGGTGGCTTGCAGTCATAAACATGTATGTATACATGCACATTAAGTCATAAACATGTATGTATACATGCACATATGCGAAGGGTGGGGGGCGGAGTGGAAGGAGGTAGGAACTGTGAATAGAATAGAAGAGTAGAGTAGCGTAGAGTAGAGTAGATATTAGAATGAAAGAATAGTGTAGAATAGAATGGGGTGATAGTTATAGGTTACTAAATAAGCAGTCAAATCATACTAGGAAACAAAACAATATAAGTTGTAGAAATACAAGCAACATGGTTATAATCATAAGTGGGAAGAGATAGGTAATAGGAAGGATGAGAAGAAGAATAGTAACACAGTCTTAGTAGGCAATATGATAGTGTTGTGGAAATTAGTTGTTTATCAGAGTGATGGCATGTGGAGAAAAAATTGTCCTTGTGTCTAGTTGTTCTGGTGTGCAGTGCTCTAGAGCGTCGTTTTGATGATAGGAGTTGACACAATTTATGTCCAGGATGTGAGGGGTCTGCAGATACTTTCACAGCCCTCTTTTTGACTCGTGCCATATACAAGTCCTGGATGGAAGGCAGGTTGGTAGCCATTGTTTTTTTTTCTGCAGTTCTAATTATCCATTGGAGTCTTTGTCTGTCTTCTTTGGTTGCAGAGCCAAAGCAGATAGTTATTCTGACAGTTATTCAAACCAGACTGTTACTTGATCAACCACCTCCTAACTTTGAGTAAACATGACTTTCAGATGTCACTTCCAAGGTAGAGAAAGGTGATTTGAGTCCTTGGAGACTTATTTTTGAGAGTTGCTCAAAACTGTTTGTATTGTTGAGTGCAAGACACCAACTCCATCAACTCTTTCACAGTTGCCCTTTGCCTTTTAATTGCTGTAGCATTCTTCTCACCAATGAAAGTTATCTCTGTTTTGCAAGGCTACACATTAAACTTTCCCTATACTTTCCCTTTTAGTTGTCTTTTTTTTTTTTACTCTTCATTGTCCTCTTTTGTTAAAAGGGCGATGCTTCTGCTTATCTATATTTTGGTGCTCTCATTTGCTTCTGTAGTTTCATCCGCTGTCTTTGTTCAGCTGACTTTGAAATTTCCTTTTAACATACTGCTGAATTTGGCATTGTTGGGTTCTATCAGAAAAAATATCTCTGTAAATGCTTTAATATTTTCACTTACTCTGTATAATTCTCGCTTTGTGTTCCACCACTATCCTGAGTGATGAATATTCATCTCCTTTTTTCTTTCCTCCCTCCTTTTCCCTTCCCTTCCCTAATCTCCTTTATTTTTCTAATTAAAATTACTTCGAACCTTTTTTTAGAATGTAACACTATATTTTGAGGGCCTTCCAACTTCAAAAAAAAAAAGGGGGGGGCACCAGTTCTTCATCATTGAGATAAATTTTGGCAAAACCAGAAGGCTTGATTTTCTGTAGGACAAATGTTGCAGAATTACATCACCTCTGCAAATTTAATTTCCAGAGTTACAAAAGTCAGAATCCTTCAGATGTCATAGAAAATTGAGGATGGTTTGTGTGGCTTATTGCTAGTTATATGAAAGCCTTGGAGTCCCCTCGTTGTCCTAATCTCATTGTGTTATTTTGTAGACTTTTTTGATTCCGACTCCTCTTGAGTCTCTTTAAAATGCATGTTCTGAAGTGCTTCTCAATTGGTAATCAGTTTTAACCTTGATGGCTCTGCAGAGACATCTAGTGACTTGAATTTTGCATGCACGCCAAAGGTAAACTAATAAACAACGGCAAACGTGAACACACTTAGAGAAACCCAACTGCTCAAATGTTCTGGTGTTCTAGATTTCATTGTTGCTTCTTGGTGTTCCTCATGCCAATGTCCAGAATTGTTGAGTTTTTCAAAAAAAAAAAAAAAGGTGGGGAAAGGATGGAAATCATACATTTTTGAAGCAGAAACCATATTTAGGGTTTAGTGGATGTCCAAAGCTTAAACATTAACAGGATGTTACGGATTTTGACACATTTAATGCTCCACTCATTTATCTTCCATGCAAGAACTAAACTTTAGATGCTGAGCATAAGTTATTTGAAATAATCAAACGCAGCATTGTCATTGTGGTGGTGTTGTAAGTGTCTCCGCTCATTTTAATTATTTGTATTTGTGTGGCAGTTCATCTGTGTGGAAAATTGGAAGAATTTGAGGATCAAGAATATAAATGTCAAAATAATACTTTCTGGAAATAGAGAGGGGGAAAAAATAGAATAAAGTTAATTATTGTAAGGCTGAGGTTTTAATTTTTTTTTCCAAGGTGGATTTGCCTACATAAGCATGCTTTAGAAAATAGAAAATTGTGCATTCCAGACGATCCAGGCCAAATGGTTATAGTTTAGTAAACATACTGCTCTGTAAATGAAGTTCTTCACATGGCAACAATAGAAAAAATGAGATCTATATCTATATATTACCACAACTTTCCTGTCTGCAACTGTTAACTGGATGAAATGGTGCTTCATAGGGGAACAATATTTGTGAAGCTGACCTGACTGAAGCCATTTTTGACCGTTTCAGTCTTGCCACACTGGAGTTGAGGAATAGGGAGGGGGGATTTGAGATAGAGGGGATTCTGTAGCCAAAACAAAATATTTTCTCTTGAGAACCAAGGACATTCTCACACCTGGTCAGAGGAAAGCAGAGTGATTGCATCCGGTCGCCAGACCTCTCCATGATTGGACCATGTGACTGATTGTTTTGAGAAAGTAGAAAAAAACTTTTACTTTTAATTAGGGGAAAACCGCGGGAGACTTCAGAGTCGGTTTTCACCAGATATGTGCCGCTATGATATTTCCAATAAAGCTATTCTTCGAGGAATCTATCTACCTCAGAGTTTTGCTTGCTATGGGTCTATTACTTGGAACCCTGATAATGTAAACCTATGTAGTTCAAATGGGCTAATAGACAAAATGCATCCAACATGTGAACCATGATTCCATGCAATATTGAGATTTATGATCACTGCAGTGCTTTTGCACCACTGCCTGAAGGGTCAGTTGACTGGTTCCGGAGCCACCCTCCTGAGTCTGGCTAGACTGGCCTCTCCTTCACCTGTTGAAGACAGGTAGACTAATCCTGACCAGGCCTTCAGAGGGCGGCCAGCTGCAGTCAAACCAGCAGGAAGGACTAAGGTTGTTATGAAAGCAGTGTTCCAATGTTTAAGGGGCTGCCATAAAGAAGATAGGGTCAGCTATTTTCCAAGGCACCTGAAAGGCTGGACAAGAAGCAAAGAATGAAAAATAAAATAAAATAAAAGAGAAAACCAACCTAGAAATAAAGAGAAATTTTCTGACAATAAGAACAATTGATCAGTGGAACGGCTCGCCCCCAGACGTTGTGGACATTCCAACACTGGAGGTTGCTGAGAAGACATTGGACAATGAAGGGTGTGTCAAATGTTTCAGCTTTCAATTTCTAAACCTTAGGGGTGCTCAAAAGTTGTCGAGGATTGTAAATATGTTTTAGTTACTTTAATATAATGTAGATGTGCTTGGTAAGTAAGTACATAAATATCATAACTTTGTAACATTTTGTGGGACAGCCATTCTGCCTGAAATGGTATGGGGTTTCCTGCTTGAGGAAATCCTACACCAAGGGGTTTGGATTTGAAGACCTCCTCTCCAACTCTGTCATTCTGTTATTCTCCCCCTTGATTAAACTTTGGATTTTCCATTTGAAATGCTGATGATTGCTAAATGAACGATGGCTCTTATATTTTGAGTACATACCATGTTTCCCCCCAAAATAAGACTGGATCTTATATTAATTTTTGCTCCAAAAGATGCATTAGGGCTTATTTTTTGGTTAGGTCTTAATTTCAGGGAAACATGATACTAAATACATCCATCTAGCTGACAATCTTACCTGGGGTTTATTTTGGGGGTAGGTCTTATATTACGAGCATCCTGAAAAATTGTTCCAGGGTTTATTTTCCAGTTAGGTCTTATTTTTTGGGGGAAACACGGTATTTCTGTTAACTCTGATTGTTAAGCATGGAAGCTCATCTGCCTAAGTCATGCTGAAAGTCCTATTAATAAGCAATAACCATCAGAATGTTCATTTGTAAAGTACACACCGGAGCAAGCATGAAATAATTTGCAATTTCCTTTTTTTTTTTTTTTTACAGTTGGGTTAACAATTTTGGATATGAAGGCCTTGGGCTTCTCCTGGATGTCCTTGAAAAACTCCTTGATAAGCGACAGTAAGTATAGAAGGTATAAGAATCAATAAAGGGAAGCAAAAAAGAGTGATTAATATAGGACTGTCAGTTAATGTTATTATTATTAATTTTCAGGCAAGAAAGTATTGACAAGAAAAATCAACATAAGCTTATACAGTGCCTCAAAGCCTTTATGAATAATAAGGTAGGAATTTTAGCCCTGGCTGATTTCTCTCTCTCTCTCTCTTTCTCTCTCTCTCTCTTAAGATAGGTCCACTTTAACTGGTAATGAATGACTGTCTTTAAAGAAAGAGATGACTTTAATGAAATGGAAATTTGATCTACTAATGATGATGGTTTGCCTGTAGTTTAATATTGCCGCAAAGAATTTGGAATAAGGCGAAACCAATTCATATGTTATTTTAAGGCTTGAAAACGGCATCAAGTATACCGAAGCGTTTCCTTTTCTTCTGAGAACTGGGAAAGAAAAAAACCCACAACACTCACATTTTTTTAAAGGTCAGCTCTTCCCGACTAGGAAGCCAAAGTCGTGCAGGGTAATATTACTTTTATTATAAAGATACAGGAAGGGAATCTTGCAATGCCTCCCCCCCCCTCCCACCTTTATCTTCGTGGAAACTAGGGAAGGTCTCGCCAGAGATATTTTTTTCCAGGTTACAGCTCTGGCCCCGACTCAGATTACTTTTATCTGATTATTGTCTAGGAAGCAGCTGTTCTTCCTGACCCCCAAGCTCACTCCTTCTGCTTATTACAAAGCTTCAGTGATGTGGAATCCCAACATAATGTCATAAAAAAAAGTAAAACTTGTATTGAGTTACCCAACTTTGGATAAATCTCTCCACTCTCCTTGTGAACTTCGGGGCCCAAATTTAGTGCTTTAATTTTAGGAAGAAGGTGTAAGGGGCTATGTGAGGGTGTGGAAATACGGTAATACCTTGAACTACTTGAAATTATTCTCAGTGTATTTCTAAACTCAGAAAAAAGACAGAGAAACCAAAATCTCCTTCTGGTTTTTACTTCCATGTTGTTTGGAAGACTTAGAAATTTAATTTTCTAGGCAATTTTTTTTCCATAGGGGGAAAAAAAAGACCGCATTAAGAGAACATAGGCAGGGAAATAACAAGCTACGTAGTATTCAAGCTGTGTTTCCATCATGAAATACAATTATCTCCCTGATAAGCATAGCCAAAATACACAATTGCAATATTTTAATGGACGCATCATCTTTTTTCCAGTACAGTTGGCATTTTCTGCATAGGGGGGATTTCTTTTTTCTAGAAGCCTGACCCTTTTAAAAAGTATGTTTCGTTGAACCTGGCAAGACTCCGTTGTCTCCATCAGTTCCTCCATTTATGCTATAGGACTGTGAACCTATAACACACGTGCTCAAAGTGGCACACGAAGTCATGTTGTCCTTCATCTATGGCCTTGCCTGTTTGCCTTCCGGGTTTGTGGTGCCACCCTTTGTTTTTTAAAAAAATCATTTTCTTTCTATCCTACCTGTTCTGACCACCCTCTTCCCACACCAACACACTCCGAGTCAAAGATACTTTCCGGAATTTATTAACAGACAGACAGGTCCTTGGCAGCAAGCCGGCACAGATAAGCCGTGGCAGCAATAACACAGATAAGTCTTGGCAGCAATCCAGCCTGCCAAGCTCACAATTCCATTCTCCAACATTAGTTCCTATGTTGACTTCTGTAAGAGGGGCGTGTGCACAAGCAGTCCTTTTTTAGTCTGGAGAGCAGCCTAATGACCACCAGCTGAGTGCAATTACCTCCTGTAACTGCATAATTGTTCCTGCCGCTTATTAGCTCTTTGATGGCGTGCATCCAGAAACAACTCACTGCTGGTGTCCGGATCACTCTCCCTTGTCTCCTCCCCACTGGTCCAAGGCTCAGGAGCCTCCTGGTGG